CCGGTGGTTATCCTGTTGTTTGTCCGTAAACTCTCGTTCGGCTGCGAAAAAAGAAAAGTTTTGATTTTTGAAATATTTGTATTTTTTTTGCTCAAAACTAACGGCAATAGTAATCGACGGGACAACACGTGTTCTCGTGATATATGGGTAGACATCCGTCCCTCAATTGGCGGTCGACCTCCAGATTGCACTGAACGGCACGACAGCCGCTGTTATCACTGGTTTTGTTTGAGTTCCAGCTCTGATCGCAAACACAGACTTTGCATTTGTCGTCAATCGGGTGTATCTTTTCGCCCAATCTATAGCTCTTCCCATTGTATTGACAGACAAACTCTTCGTCGACCGGATCGGCACCTGTAGTGTAGGAATTTGTGTTTTAAAAAAAATATAGCTATTGTTTGTCCAGTGATTGAATTGACAGCAAAAATAATTTACATTTCTTGGAAACGGCGCAACACTTCCCGCTCTCGTAAACGTTGTAACAGTTGTGGACTCTCTCGAAGTCGCGCTCNAAAAACAATATAGCTATTGTTTGTCCAGTGATTGAATTGACAGCAAAAATAATTTACATTTCTTGGAAACGGCGCAACACTTCCCGCTCTCGTAAACGTTGTAACAGTTGTGGACTCTCTCGAAGTCGCGCTCGAGTCCGGCCAATGGGAACGAATGGACCGCAAAGTTTTCCGGACACTCGACGGATACGCAATGTATTGTCGTAAAGGGCTGACTGTCCACTCGGTGTGTGTATCCGTACCCGCATTGACACACTTGACACGGGTTGGGCACTGGTATGCGCTCTCCGATTGTGAATTTGCTGCCATTGAATAAGCACTCTATTGGTTATATACGAGTAAAATATACAGGCAATTAGTTTTGCGGTTTAATAGTACTGTATATTCACTAATACTAACCATTATTTCCTAACTCTATCTCAATCTTTTCGATGCAATCAAACATTTTCGGACAATCCTTACAGCGATTGTCACCGAAGACTGGTTTACATCCTTTGGCGTAATAATGGTTGAAATACTTGGCGTTAAGACAATGGGAACAATTGACACCATTGTTGTCGTTGGTATTATCATTGATGTCAGTGATGTCAGTGGCGGTGGTTGTGGTCTCCGTATCGACCAAATTGGCAGTTGTGGTGATCTTAAGATCATCCACTTGTGTGGGCACAACCGTTGTGTCATATGAAACAGTTGTAAAGTCTATTGAATCAGTACTACTTGTGGACAGATTTGTGTCATTCAATGGATCTGTTTTTAATAGCAATTATTTTATTAAACATTTTATAGTAAAAAACTTATGTAACAGTTATATAATAATTTTATTTCAAACACACAGAATATTCTGTATACAGAATTCACCGTAAATTTCAAATAGAAAAACAATTGCATCTAATGATGAAATGTAGGAAAATTTATTTGCAATAAAAACGATTTATTGTCACCAATTTTTTTATATAGATTTTATAAATTTATTTTAAATTTGCATTAATTTAATTCTACATTGAGTTGTTATGCAAAACATGCTTGATTTTTTAATTTAATAATATCTTACTTTAACTAATAAAAACTAATTGATTAAAAAGGTTCTGATTTTTCAGTTTTACGTTTTAATATTTTAATAATAAAACTTTAGTTTTGTATCATTTATTTTTAATAGTAAAATATGTATAAATTGCAATAATATAATTACTTTATTATATTTAATTTACATTTAATATACAATTAATTTATTTACAAGGAATAACAATAATGTATTATAATATTAATTATTATATTGAAAACTTACTGCATTTTACATGAAATGTGATGTAAATGACAAAAACGGTATATAATATCCAGATATCCATCAGATTTGATAAAATTAATATTAATACAAGACAATTGGGAAAACAATTTTCAAACAATTATAATGAATAAGAATTTAGAAAACTGTTGTATATTTCTATCACAAAAAAACACAAACTTATATTACAAATACCATTGAAATCAATGTTAAACACTATATTCCTTATGTCTAAATGAGAGAGATATTTGAGAGAAACGTTAATTTAAAGCATTCAAAACCATTCATCGATAGAGAGTGTGAGAGGCGTAAGAAAACTCGTAAATAACTTGTAATACTAGTCGTCGTGAATGTCA